ATTGGGCTGAATATTTGGATTTTTATGATTATGAAATATTGATAAAAAAATAAATAAAAGGTTTTAAACGACACTTATTATTATTACTACTGTACAATGTTATAAACTGATTAATATACGTATTTTATCAGGCAGTGCCTGCCTGATAACTTATTAGTATCATATTTTTTTAATCAAAGTTTCAGTAAATAATTCCAATTCCGCACATAACTGATTGTGGTGGTTATTAAAGATGGACAAAGTCAGTTGCATATTATTACAAATTATTTCTTCTAATAATCATTCATCATAATCAACAATTAGTAATAATACGTATGTGTAAATACTGGGTAAAAAAAAATAAGTATTTATTTCTTACATTATTACCTTGTCCATCTCTAGTGGTTTGCTAGGTTCGTGGACAATGTACATTGTTTGTTTGAAGGGAGTTGGAAATGAGAACAGCTATCAAATTGAGCATGTAATTATCAGACAGCTGTAAAATGTCATACGATATAATTTGGAGTAACAAGTAGTACAGTAAAATCTTGAGTTATTTACGAAAACAGAAAAACCGTAAATAACTCAAGATTTTACTATGATACCGTAGTTTGACTTCTAAACAAAAGTTTTCGGTACGAAATTTTAGGTATATAACTATACCTAATATCAAATATAAAGTAAATTGATGCTTTTTCGATTCGGTGATCGACATAACCTGTCAGACCAATTTTTTTTAGATACTACGTTAAATCTAAAAATCATTTTTTTTTAACAGCTAACTTATATGATAAAATTTAATCCATGATCTCAGGTAAAGTTAAATTGTTCTCCAGTAAAATTGAATTATACAGTTGTTGTATTGATTGGTCTTAGCTAAAATCCGCTTAATCGGTTTTGATGTAAATTGCTTATGAAATTGTAATATCTATAAATCATTACGATATATCACTTAATTTAATAATTACGACATTATCATCAAAAAAAGCCTTATCGAATCGTGACATTTCAGGTTAGACATCGGGAATAAAAATTATAAATAAATAATTGAATTTTTAAAGGGTTATCAGTTACCAGATGGTCCTTCAATTTATGTTTGTTTATCGATCATAATTAATAGTATTTTTTGTAGTTGATATATCTAAATGAATAATCAAAAAACATCCAGGCACTGATTAGTTGATCTATTTACATAAGTGTATATTATACTGCAATACTGTAATTAATATCGATAGCTTTAATCGTTTTGCATTGTTATAATCTTAATCATTCCGTAAAACGCGTTTACAATGAAATTACATTTGGATTTTCTTGCCATTAAATCTCATTAACATCGCCTAAACAGTAATTATCGGCAGCAGGAATCTTTGTTTAATGCTTTTTTCGTCAGTAGACACACTTGATTGACCACTTGATATATGGGGGCTGCCAGTAGAAACCAAGCAAATTGTTTTTAATGAGTTTTTTTTAAAAAAATTTAAATAAAAATATCTCAACAACTATTAAATTAAACTTGATAAATTTTTTTTATTTTAATTCTATAATTATATAAAATTAAAATAAAAAAATTTTTATCAAGTTTGGTTTAATAGTTGTTGAGATATTTTATTTTAAAGTTTAAAAAATTTACTGGCAGCCCCCCATATATTCACACTGGTTAAATCGACAAACTTAACTGTTAAGACACATAGTTGTAAATTTACCTTCGTTGTTATTTTGATCAGGAACCTTTGACTGTTCGTTTTTTTTTTTGTTTTGGAAGTAGAGATATTCTATTGAACGTCTTTAGAGGTGCTTGATCGAACAATAATGGGAGATCTTGATTGATTATTATTACCCTCTCATCTACAAAGTATTTAAAATTTTACTGCTTAACAAATCTCAAATTTACAGTAAAGTTACCAAACATACCAATTATAGTTGTTGAGGCGAGACCAACTGGATTCTGTGTTTTACATTATACCCCTCTCCCCTCCGGAAGAGGGAGGGGTGGTTTACATAGTAAAATTTTTCAAAAAAAATTTTCCGAATTGTTCCGTGACTGTATAAAATTTTGCCGAAATATCCTGTAGCCCATGTATATTTATCTAAATTTTTTTTACTATGAGGGAGAGGGGGCACTGAGGAGGGGGAGGGGGTAATTTAAACCTCAGAATCGACTGTATAAAATTTTGCCGAAATATCCCGTAGCCCATGTATATTTATCTAATTTTTTTTACTATGAGGGAGAGGGGGGCGCTGAGGAAGGGGAGGGGGTAATGTAAAACTCAGAATCCAGTTGGTCTCGCCTGATCAATTATTGTTATTGTAGGATTATGATCTAAAAAAATTTTATTAATATTTCCAAGTTTGGAGTCGGTCATATTTTTCATACGTTAAGCTAATATTAACCGGTTTTAACACGAAAATAAGCCGGTTCCAAATTAATTCAGAAAATATTAGCGTTAGCACACGATCGTTAACGTTAAGAATCTTAACAATTTGTTATACGTTTAGATCAGCTGCAGTACTTCTAAGAGAAAAAAAAATTATTAATTTAGAAAAATCTATTACTATAAATTATACTTGCAAAATTTTTAGAATTTGAATATGTGCGCATTAATATTTAATTTTCCAAACAAGCCGCAGTGAGTCACGTGAGCAGACTTTTGAGTATCATAGGTTTTCTCCCTTTTGGGAAGTTTCAAGAACACGGAACCCAGTGATGATCACGAATTATCCCCTCGATATAATCACATATTAATTTTGATTGGTCGAAAAAATGTAAACAAATGTCAGGTGACAACTTCTAATAGCTAAGTCAGGGACCGGCAAAAATTATTTGGATAATTTTAAGATTTTTCGATTATTTTTTGCAAATATTTGGATAAATTTTGATTATTTTTGCCAATATTTTGATAAATTTCAATTATTTTTACAACTATTTTTAATAAATTTTGATTATGTAAAATTGAATATTTATTTTTTCATTGCATTAAAATACATCATATTCAGCATTTTAAGCGATTCTGTACTTAAATTGTGTCGATTATCAGCTAAAATGTTGTTATAAACAGAAAAGCTACGCTCTACAGCGCACGAAGAAATTGGAAGCCAAATATAATCGAAAGATATTTCACTTAAAAGGGGAAGCATAAATGAAACTTTTTTCCAAAAATCTTCAAGATTCGAATATTCAATTTCAGCTAATTCTAAATTACAATATAAACCCCATTCATGAAGAAGAGATACAGAAGGATTAGAAAGTTGAGGAATTTCATTACCATATCGTTGAATATCACGATGAATTGATGCCAACTGAACATAACGGGGATCAAAAATTTGAGCAGCTTTAAACAAAGATCTAGCTGGATGATTAGATAAGTGGTTTAAAAACTTAGTATGTGCAGCATTATATGCTGCTTGAAATACAGATTCAAAAGTAGGAGTAGTAGTATTAAATCTTTCAAGAATAAAATTAACATTAGGTCCGAAATCAGAAGAAGTCATACCATTATAGATATATGTTTCTAACTGCTGAATACGGTTTTCTATGAATGGAAAAAGAGGGTCACATTCTTTTTGAAAAAAATCTAAATCTAACATAAAATGAGGCGCATGCGAATGAATAAATGTAAGGTACAATTCAATTAAACCATTAGTATTTTGATTAGAAAAAAGGGTAACAATAGAGTTAATAGGTTCGGAAGCTTCTATTCCTTTTTCTTCAATATAAAAACCACGAACATATTCAAGATAATCATGAATATAAAAAGCCATTTCGAGCCAGGAATTCCATCTTGTAGCATTTGGAAGAGGCATAAACCGAGCAGTTAATGATTTCTTATTTACTTGATTTGACAATGCCATATCTGATTGAATAGACAGATTATAATCCAAAAGCCCATGTCGTTGAAGATAGTTCATATACCGATTGCGTCGTATTTTTGAATGTACCATAGTTTTTTTAATGTTTGCAATAAGCTTCTTAACATCGTTAAAATGATCAATGGATATAAATGCTTCACTAAATAAAATTAAAAAATAATAAATATTTAATATATAATTTTGCTAACAAATTACCTTTTAGGAATATAGTCCTGAAAGGGCTTTTGTTAGAAAAATTCCATATCATACCTTATCAGATTTAAAATATGTGCGCAACAAGTATTATGCTTAAGTTGCGGCATAATTGAAGCCAAAACATTTTTTGCGCATTTTTTCATATATTGTGCTGAATCAGAGACAAAAATATAAGGGTAATTAAATGGTATTGACCATTCAGTCAAAATTTTAATAATTAATTGACCGATAGTAACATTATTAACTTGCTGTAAAAATTCTACAGAAATAAGTTTTGTACTACCTCTATAACTAAATAATACATTGACTACACTACGAGCTTTTACGTCTGTGGTTTCATCAACGATTATAGATACAGGTTTTTTACCAAATTCAGCTTTAAGTTCCATAAGATGTTGATCAAAAACAACTGGCAAATATTGGTGTCGAAGAACTGTGCAAGAAGGAATAGCACCACCTTCACGGCAATGTTCTTTTAAAAAGTCTTGAAGTTTATCTATTTTTTCGATAGGAATGTCCGCTTTTATGCAAGCCTTGAGCAAATCCATAATAACTTTTTGCTTTGCTTCAGCAACGGTTAAAGATGATTGGATAGTAAGTTGACGATTACTTTGGGATTTTTTTTGTGCATCTTTATGATTGCTAGAGTTGATATGTGCAGTAATTGTAGCCTTGTTTTCCCAATTAATACTGTGGCAACAAAAACGGCACATCAATTTATTGCCTTCTATGTGAAAGTGTTCTTTAAATTCTTGTGCCCGGGATTGAATTGTAACTTCTTTGCGACGTCCCATTTTTATTTGGTGGGAAAAAAAAAAAAAATAAGTAATTTTTTTTTCACTCAAGGAATTATTTTATATATATGTATTGTTAGAGGCTAATCGACCAAAATTAAACCTCTAACAAAAGGGAAGAAAAACAGTAAATTAACGTTTAAGAATGGACAAGGTTGAGTGACAATGCTCGGTAGAGAGATGAAGTGGATATTGATTTGGCATGGTTCTAAGGCATCTACTGAGTATTGTTAGATAAGTAATTCAATGTAATTTTTAAAGAGCGTTTTAGCTTGGGTTTATTCAAGGGATTTTATTAATGAATTTATTGTATAGGGGGCAAATTACACACACTCGAGATACTTTGACAAGAGGAATTCGTCCTCTTATTTATAACAAATTTATAGGACAAGAAAAAGAACAAAATCGAAAGTTCTCATTTTCTCTTGTCATTATACACCCTTTTCTGGTCTAATTCCCTACCCTTACACACAGCTATTATTATTGAAACATGCAACAGAAGGAAAAAGAAGGCAAAAAAGAAGGCAGGTCAAATGAAGGCTTCTACGCCATCATCGTCTTTACCCGTTGATTCATTCATTGATTCATTGACTCATTCATTGACCCATACGCTTTTTTTTTCCCACTGCCACACACTTTACCTGACAAGGTAATATTACCTTGACAGCTGCCATACTGAATCGGGTAAGCATCTTTTCTTCAATGAAATCGTTTGATAGCTTTCGTTCTGGGCTCCAACAGGTTTACTTGCAGATGATCGTCATTCGAAAATCGTGGGTCCCAATTAGCAATGCAAACCAAACTATTTGGGACGTCCCAAACTGCGTGATGAATAGTATCAAACAGTTTTAGCAATAGTAATAACACGGTAAATACCTAATGTGATACTAGTCGTCACATAATTTGGGACGTCCCAAATAGTTTGGTTTACATCCCTAGTCCCAATTCATAGGTCAATCGGCATCATTTCGCATAAGTTTTGAGTCTTGAGATCATAGAGTTTTTACCTGTGACAATACATTCGCAAAGAAAGCGAAAAAATAAAAATTTTTTGAAAAAAAAATCCTGATCACTGATTATTATTGTTGAATACTACCCAATCAGAATATGAGGTCAGGTGTAACGTGATATGGTTTTCGCATTCTGATTGGTCAACTATAAGATCTGCAAAAAAATTCGCTTTTATTTGGATAAATTTCAGAAATTACCAAAAATTTTGGAAAATTTGGATAAATTTTTTAAAAAATTTTTGCCGGTCCCTGACCCATGTGAATAAATATTTGAAAAAAGCATAGGTTGTTACATAAAACCTATACAATAAAAGCAAAATATTAGGATACCCTAATGTTTTACTTTTAGGCCCAGAGTGCTAAGAGTAAGATATCAGGGTATATTGAGAAAAATTTTTTAGTGCTGTTTTGTACAGATTTACAAACAAATTAAATAATAAATTAAATGAAAATCTGTGCAAAACTTCAGACTTACCAGCTATAGATAGCTACAGAGATTAAATACAGTTCTGCACAGAATTTCAAAATATAAAAAATTTTGTATTTTCACAAGTTTTTGCAGATTTGCACTTATTTAATTCTTTTGATGTAACTTATGATGAGAATTACTATAATCTCAATGTAGGCTAACTCAACTATATCCTTTGTACTGGAATCTTCTACAGCAACTCATGATATGAATTATGATAATTCTAAATACAACTTACTCAACCTTAACCATATCTGTGTCACTGAAGTAGTAAAACGATAAAAACTATACAATTTTAACCACATACTGTATTACCAGAATAGCATGTAAAATCTATAGCAAAATTTTTACAATGACTCACAATAGAAATTATGATAATTCTGATATTCATTTAAGTTTTTTTTTTTTTTGTTTTGTTTATTTTTTTTTCTTTTATTATTATTATTTTTTTTATATATTGTAGTTTTTTTTTAGTATTTTGCCATTGTTCTTTAATGTCATCATGTGCAGTTTCATCGTTTATCAGTATTGATCCTTTTAATTTACTAATGCCATATTTGTGATATTGAGCAGTAAATTGCAAGTAAGGTCTGTAACTAAATTTTTTCAGTAAATCATAATAAAACTCCAATACAACTAACTCATTACAACAATAGCAAGTAGGCTTTGTAACTAAATTTTTTCAGTAAATCAGATACAAACTAAACAACATACTATCGTTGTAGCAACTCATGATAGAAAGTATGATAATTCCAATACAAACTGACTCAACAACATACCAATTGTTTATAGATTCAGTGGCAGAATTTTTACAGTAAATCACAATAGAAATCACACTAATTTCAATACAAACTGACACTGCCTTCAACCACTTACAGTGTGTCATGCAATAGCAATAGGTCTGTAATTAGATTTTTCCAGTAAATTACTTGAAATCATAGTAATTCTGACATGAACTAACAACAGACTGTGTGTTATCACAATGGTTTGTAAGTTCCGTAGTAAAATTTTTTGCAGTAACTTATGATGGAAATCCAGCTAATTCTAATACAAACTGATTCAACAATTCTGTCACAATGAAAATCACAATAATTTCAATACAAACTGATGCTACCTTACAGTGCTCGACAAAAGTTTCTCCGCACCTATATCTCCTCATAGAGAGGTGCTACAACCTTGAAACTTTTCAAATAATTAGTACATACATAGTTTAGATTGTGTGCATTTTTTGAAGATTTTTTAATTACTAGAAAAAAATTTACATGAGAGCTGAATTTGGAATGCTTTTTTTAAAAAAATAAAAAATTAATTAAATTTAAAGAAAAATTAATATATCGTTAAGGTTTAAAGCTAAAAATTCCAAAAAATTAGTTTATTAAAATTTAATGATTTCTGTAGTAGTAATAAAAAATTTAGCTTGA